CCTTTTTTTGTTTTATGAAAAAATAATCTTTCATCATTTCATTGAAACTTTTTCTGGTTGTTTTTTTTCCCATGCTTTATCATGTTATTTTTGTTATTTTTAAAAGAATTGACAACAAAATTTACATTTTATTTTTACATTTTACAATAATCTTGGCCTTTTAAAGCATAAAAATCTTCTGAAATAAATTTCACACAATATTTTATTCCCCATCGCCCTTTTTTCCATATTCTTAATTTTTCTTTATAGTTTCTTTTAATAAACCATTTCTCTTTTATACGTTTCGAAACAAAAAACTAAACAAAACAAACACATAAGGGCCTAGTTTGTTTCAAAATTCCTTCAAAGTGTTCAGTAACTGTTGGAATGTATTTGATAATATCTCAAAATGTCTGTACATGTATTGTAAATACTCAAAAGTAAATTTCAAAGCATTGTAATGAAAAAGCATAAAGACTTGCATGGTTATAAACTTTCACCACACAGAGGTATAAGGCTGATATCTCATAAAAATCTATTCATTATTTCTGTTACATGTTTGCTGTCTTAGAAATACAAAGTTATCAAACAATTCTCTCAACAAAGCTTTCTTGTTTCGTATTTTTCTCCTACTGCATTTTTTATGGGAAAGATAAATACTTTGAAATCAATTAATGAAGGTATCAGTTTCTTTACTTGCTAGTAATACAAGGCCAGGAATCTTTTATCAATATTGAATAACATGTTTACAACAAAGGAATATATTGTTGTGTTGCTTTTTTAAACATTTGGTTTATTAAAAAATAACAAAACAAACAAGAGGGCCATGATGGCCCTGAAGTCGCTCACCTGTATATAGGCCCCCCGAAGCGGGGCCAGTTTAAAACCCAGGGCTTTTATTTGAACAAACTTGGAATTAAGACACCCATTAGAAGATGTTTCATGATGTTAAGTTTTTTGCTATACGCATATAAGGAAAAACAATGACCTTCTCCCCCCCCCCCCCCCCAGCAGAGTTAATTTTAACCCAAGGGCTTTTATTTGAACAAACTTGGTAGACACCCATAAGAAGATGTTTCATGCTAAACATTTAAGCTCTAGCTCATTGGGTTTTTTAAAAGAAGATTTTTTAAGTTTTTACTATACACATATAGTTAAAAACAATGACATCCCTGGGGCGGGCCCAGTTTTGACCCAAGGGCTTTTATTTGAACAAACTTTGTAGACAATTATTTGAAGATGTTTCATGCTTAATATCTTACTCTAGCTATTTGGGTTTTTTCAAAGAGGTTTTTTAAGTTTTTGCTATACACATTTAAGGAAAATCAATGACCCCCGGGGCAGGGCCAATTTTGACCCCAGAGCTTTTATTTGAACAAACTTAGTAGACACCCATTAGAACATGTTTCATGCTTAATATCTTAGCTTATGCTCTTTGAGTTCTTTAAAAGAAGATTTTTAAAGTTTTTACTATATGCATATAGGGAAAATCAATGACCCCCCTGGTGCTGGGCCAATTTTGACCCCAGGGCTTTTATTTGAACAAACTTGGTAGACACTCACTAGAAGATGTTTCATGCTAAATATCTTAGCTCTAGCACTTTGGGTTCTTTAAAAGAAGATTTTTAAGTTCTTACTATATGCATATAGGGAAAATCAATGACCCCCCTGGGGCGGGGCCAATTTTGACCCAAGGGCTTTTATTTGAACAAACTTGGTAAACACTCATTAGAAAATGTTTCATGCCAAATATCTAAGCTCTAGCTCTTTGGGTTCTTTAAAAGAAGATTTTAAAGTTTTTACTATATGCATATAGGGAAAATCAATGAGCCCCTGGGGCAGGGCCAATTTTGACCACAGGGCTTTTATTTGAACAAACTTGGTAGACACTCATTAGAACATGTTTCATGCTTAATATCTTAGCTCTAGCTCTGTGGGTTCTTTAAAAGAAGATTTTTTAAGTTTTTACTATATGCATATAGGGAAAATCAATGACCCCCCTGTTGCTGGGCCAATTTTGACCCCAGGGCTTTTATTTGAACAAACTTGGTAGACACTCACTAAAAGATGTTTCATGCTAAATATCTTAGCTCTAGCTCTTTGGGTTCTTTAAAAGAAGATTTTTTAAGTTTTTACTACATGCATATAGGGAAAATCAATGACCCCCCTGGGGCGGGGCCAATTTTGACCCCAGGGCTTTGATTTGAACAAACTTGGTAGACACTCATTAGAAAATGTTTCATGCCAAATATCTAAGCTCTAGCTCTTTGGGTTCTTTAAAAGAAGATTTTTTAAGCTTTTACTATATGCATATAGGGAAAATCAATGACCCCCTAGGGCGGGGCCAATTTTGACCCCAGGGCTTTGATTTGAAAAACTTGGTAGACACTCATTAGAAAATGTTTCATGCCAAATATCTAAGCTCTAGCTCTTTGGGTTCTTTAAAAGAAGATTTTTTAAGTTTTTACTATATGCATATAGGGAAAATCAATGACCCCCTGGGGCGGGGCCAATTTTGACCCCCAGGGCTTTTATTTGAACAAACTTGGTAGACACTCATTAGAAGATGTTTCATGCTAAATATCTTAGCTCTAGCACTTTGGGTTCTTTAAAAGAAGATTTTTAAGTTCTTACTATATGCATATAGGGAAAATCAATGACCCCCCTGGGGCGGGGCCAATTTTGACCCCAGGGCTTTTATTTGAACAAACTTGGTAAACACTCATTAGAAAATGTTTCATGCCAAATATCTAAGCTCTAGCTCTTTGGGTTCTTTAAAAGAAGATTTTAAAGTTTTTACTATATGCATATAGGGAAAATCAATGAGCCCCTGGGGCGGGGCCAATTTTGACCACAGGGCTTTTATTTGAACAAACTTGGTAGACACTCATTAGAACATGTTTCATGCTTAATATCTTAGCTCTAGCTCTGTGGGTTCTTTAAAAGAAGATTTTTTAAGTTTTTACTATATGCATATAGGGAAAATCAATGACCCCCCTGTTGCTGGGCCAATTTTGACCCCAGGGCTTTTATTTGAACAAACTTGGTAGACACTCACTAAAAGATGTTTCATGCTAAATATCTTAGCTCTAGCTCTTTGGGTTCTTTAAAAGAAGATTTTTTAAGTTTTTACTACATGCATATAGGGAAAATCAATGACCCCCTGGGGCGGGGCCAATTTTGACCCAGGGCTTTGATTTGAACAAACTTGGTAGACACTCATTAGAAAATGTTTCATGCCAAATATCTAAGCTCTAGCTCTTTGGGTTCTTTAAAAGAAGATTTTTTAAGCTTTTACTATATGCATATAGGGAAAATCAATGACCCCCTAGGGCGGGGCCATTTTGACCCCAGGGCTTTGATTTGAAAAACTTGGTAGACACTCATTTAGAAAATGTTTCATGCCAAATATCTAAGCTCTAGCTCTTTGGGTTCTTTAAAAGAAGATTTTTTAAGTTTTTACTATATGCATATAGGGAAAATCAATGACCCCCTGGGGTGGGGCCAATTTTGACCCCCAGGGCTTTTATTTGAACAAACTTGGTAGACACTCATTAGAAGATGTTTCATGCTAAATATCTTAGCTCTAGCTCTTTGAGTTCTATAAAAGAAGATATTTAAAGTTTTTTCTTTCGGTTGCCATGGCAACCAGAGTTCTGCATGGAATTAAATTCTTTGAACAATTTTGAAAGGTGACCACCAAAGGAACATTCCTGTGAAGTTTGGATGAAATTGGCTTTGTGGTTTATGAGGAGATGTCATTTGAAGCAAAAGTTTACGGACGGACGGCCGGACGGACGCCGGAAGAAAATTGATCACAAAAGCTCACCCTGTCACTTTGTGACAGGTGAGCTAAAAAAAACCCCTCTAATGTTGTTAAAATAGCCAATATAATGGAGCGAATAAAACTATTATGAAAAGATTTGTTTCTACCTAGTATTATGTATCAGTTAATCATGTTTCATCTAAAGTGTGTTGCTGGATTGTAACAATGTTAGAGTACAGACCAAACATGTTTTCTTAACCCAATACCCCATGAGCATTTTGTGAAAAATGGCTGTTTTCATTGAAAAGGCTCCCGTTACAAGTTCAAATTGCTATAAAACTATAAAAACTGCTTCAATGCTAATCAAACTTGGCGCAAATGTTGACTGGACCATTGCCTTTGTAACAACATGCTCAGGCTTAAATTTCTAGCCACCATGGCAACGAGGGGACATCTCAAATTGCCAAAAATCACTATTTTGTGTTGATTTTTTCCATCAAAATTGATTTCAAAGTGCTGCAACTTCTCAATGGATTGAGATAGAGTCAAATGCTTTTTCAGCGTTGATTACACGTTACCTTATGATCAATCTGGGGTCATTTTTAGCCTCTCAAAAGTCCAAAATTTTCTTGGCGATGAGGGACTGCCGCCCCCCTTCAAACCCCCCAAACAGAAGGGGACACATCCCCCTTCTGGCAACCCCCTGATGTATCTTTTGGCTGGGAGGCCGCGCCGAAAAAATGGTCACTTTTTTAAACAACATTTCTCAAACATAAACAAGTGTTGGGGGCTTAAATAAGTCATTTTTTCACCATTTGAGGCGCCTAAAGGGGGGGGGGGGGGTGAAAAAGGCGTAGAAAGGCGTATATATCTGGTAATGGGTTAAAAATAAACTTTTTTGTTTTGGTTCGGTTTAATGTCACCTTAACAACCATGACACTGTAAATGTCATATGATATTCAAGATTTACTAGTGGAAGATAACATCAGGTGCTTTCCTGTGCAAAAATTTCAGGCACAAGCCTGCACCCAAGTACAACCAAATTTTTCTGAACCTACCTGGACAACTTCCTCACATGAAGTAATCTTAAGTCCAAGGCCAGAGCAATAAAGTCCCTTACAGTAAAACAAAATTGTTTACCATTGACCAGAATTTTTTTTTTACTTGCATCAGAAGTGAAGAATTATATATCAGTAGACTAATTGTTTTGTGTTGAAATTCCACCAATAAAGTCCAGTAATTCACTATAACCTACCTATTCTGTAGAACACACCAGCCACAAACTGAGTCAAACAAACTAGTACATTCCTGGCAAGATGTCTTCACCAAACAGTGGTCTATGTCAACCTTCAATAACTGTAGGATAAAATCAAATTGTATTTCCATAAATATATAAAAACAATTATATATTGTCTTAAAAGTATAATATAGTGATAACTTGATACACATAGAAGAATGCCTCATTTCAAAGATCAAAATTTGTTAACAGCCTTATCTAAGTAACACAGCTTTTCGCATAGGAAAGTATGTGGAAATCAAACCATTTGCCATGAAGTGTACATGGATTCAACATTAACCCCTTTTGGGTGAGAGATAAATGACCATTAGACTCCATGACCATTATCTACAGTCACACACCCAAGGATCATACTCAACACAAGTTATTTTGTTATTTAAAAGCCCCTTGAATAATAATATACAAATTCAAAAATATTCAAAGCAATACTTGTCTATTGTTCTTACTCAGTGGGCAGGGTTACTTTTTAAATCATAGCTTAATGTGAGTGAATTTTTATAGATAAAACTCCTATTAAAAAGTGGGGAAAAAAGTGTGCAGTAAAGAAAATCTATAGTAAAACAAAAACAAAAAAACTCAAATGAAAAAAACCTCCCAGCTGCCTGGCATGATCTTGAAAATAACTTCTCCATCTTAACTATATAATGGCAATTTATGTCAAACTCTGAGCATATAAATGACAACTTTTATTTAAGCTGGGCCAGTTTTGTGAGCAGAAGCCGAGTTTGACATGTGTAATTGTTGTAATGTCAAAACTTTTTACAGGGTAAATTTTGTCAGAATCAGTCATAAAGCTTGATCAAAGAGTGATTAAAATAGTATAAATGCCTGCCATTTGTAAGCTTGTGGGCTTATAAATCTTCCAGACACATGGACATTTATTATTTGATTGGGTGGAATCAAAATTCATACATAATCCAAATCTATATCTAAATGGAGCCTGCAATGCCATACCTTGTGAAATATACTATTAAAAACTTCAAACTCTGACAGTTCAGTCAATGTTTTCATACATTTATGACATGAACTTTCTTAAAGATTCAACAAGGTGTGTGTTTCCTAGTTTTCAGACATATGAATAAGTATGCTGATTTAAATGTTTTGTGGAATTTAAAATAGTTCATAGATATCTAAAGGGTTTATACACAATTTCATTGATATGTGACACTTGCTTTCAAACATGTTGGTTGGATACTTAAAACTTCCTCGAATGATGAAACTAGTAGTCGTAATATCTGATTCCAACATTCAATAATACAAGCAAGAGATTTTTAGTCATTCAACTTTACAACTCATTCATAGGGGCCACCTTATCAAAACTTTTTTTTTTTAAAAACAAGGAAACCTTACACAAGACTAAGAATCTCTGACTTTATGGAACACAATTTCTATTTATACTTGTGCTGTTTTTGAGACTCCGTGTACAGATGTGCATTTTTTTATGTGACACATCATACAGCTATAAATATTAGTAAATGCACAGCAAGGAAATATTTTTTATTTTTTTATAACTGTTAACTTTCTTTACTATGGGTATGCAATGTATAACTATTATATAAACTGTATACCTTTGATTTTGTCATAGCATAAAGATAATTTCCTCCCTGGTTGAGAAACATTGGGCTCATCACTTCGTAACCAGCATCAAGGTCAGCTGTGGTGACCATGGTAACTAGACCATTGTCAGCAACCGTCACCTTGCATAATATATATATATATATTATAAGATAGATAAAAGTCTATATAATGTGTTTTAATTCCTGCTACTTGAGAGAAAGACTGTTCAAAGAACATTTGAGATACAAAGAAAATTCATAACAAAATAACGCTGCACTCAGAATCAAAAGCTTTTTCATTCTACACAATATCTTACCCAAAGAAATTTTGTGAATATTGTTACTACAGAATTATTATAACAAGAGCTGTCGGTAGGACAGCAACGCTCGACTATTCTTAGTGCTTGATAGTAAAAAAAAATGCTTGATACAGTTACCTCCTCCTGTTTACAGGTTGGGGTAATGATGGTGAAAAAGTGTGCAAAGTTTCAAAGCCATATGTCAATGGACTTTGAAAATATTTGAGGTATTACAAAAACTTTAACATAAATTCTAAGTCGAAAAAGGGGAATAATTCTGTCAAAATGCTTGATACAGTTACCTCCTCCTGTTTACAGGTTGGGGTAAATGAAATGGTGAACAAGTGTGCAAAGTTTCAAAGCCATATGTCAATGGACTTTGAAAATATTTGAGGTATTACAAAAACTTTAACATAAATTCTAAGTCGAAAAAGGGGCATAATTCTGTCAAAATGCTTGATACAGTTACCTCCTCCTGTTTACAGGTTTGGGTAATGATGGTGAACAAGTGTGCAAAGTTTCAAAGCCATATGTCAATGGACTTTGAAAATATTTAAACTATTACAAAAACTTTAACATAAGTGGTTACGCCGACGCCGACGCTCGGGGTACTACAATAGCTCTACTTATTCTTATCAGATAGTCGAGCTAAAAATCTTAATGCTGTCTTCTAAATATCTTATTCTTTCTTTTTCTAGGAAAACTGAAAATTTATACGCTGCTGAATTTCTTAAAGTGGACTAGTTAATAGTCCATTTTTGGTACTATTATTTTTGGGGGAAATGAAGGTAAAATTTTGAAATTCAGTCGGCCAATAGTAAAGAGCCAATCAGACTGTACAGATGTGCAGGCTGGTCTGGCTCTATACTTGTGGCAAAGCCTAATCACTCATTTCCAGCAGTGTTAATAGTTCATACAAGTTGTGATATAATTCTTGAATAAAATAAAATTCACAGCGGTAGTTTAAGTTTTTTTTTCCAAAAACATACCTTTTTGTAAAGCCCCATTTCTTGTTCCGAGGTAAATTGTTGTATGCTTATTCTCCCTTCTAAGTTTACAATGGCCGTCACTAATGTACTCGGTAGCGATTTATTGATTGGCGCTGGAAAACAATGGCATACTTCCTTCAATAGCAGAATAATCTTCGGATGCTTCTGATTGGCCACACAGGTCAGGTTTAGCCATCTAAATAAATGAAATAACACAAAAAATAAAAAAATAATTTTTCTTTTAAATTTTTTTAATATAATTATATTTCTATTTTAATTTTGAAAATTTTAATTTTAACAAAACTTATGAATTTTTGTAAATACATGTATCTTTCATTCAATGCAACAATGAACATAAGAATTTTTAGACAATGTTACTACAGTGACAAGATAAAAACCCACTTGTGTTTTTTTTTCCAAATAATTTGGAACTTTACAGATTATAAAATACATTTCTAAAACGCAGCATTATTAATTTTTCATTTACATGAGGAAAACAGGTTTTCACGATTTGGGTTAAATATTACGTATTATTATATAATCTATAAATAGCTTTGAAAATGCCCTTTTCCCTGATTGGCTAACAAAGCAACTTTTTGTAATAAATAACAGGTCAATATCAGAGTATATTCACTGTTTTTTTCCTAAAAATAGATTTTCAGAGTATTTTCACTGTTTTTTTTCTTCTAAAAATAGATTTTCTGGAAATCCCCCCTAAAAAGACGCGAGACTATTACGTGATGTCACGTCAAGTTTGTTGTTATTATTCTGAAAAAAACGTTGAGTGGGGTGTACATAAGAGTCAAATTAGTCTTTTTGAGTTACTGTTTTACATTTTTAAGAACAATAGGGATTAGCAAATGCCAATGGAAAGGGCCAATTATGGAAAAAGTAGACAAGCTGTAAAAAAAAAATGATTTCCGTCATATGCAATAGCAGATGTGATAAGCCATATAAAAAGCTATTTATAAAATTATATAATAAAACACAGATATTTTTTTTCT